TCCAGTCCATGTTTTACAGATTTCGAGTCCATTCCAGTCCAGTCCAGTCCAGTCCATGTTTTACAGATTTTTTTCAGGCCAGTCCAGTCCAGTCCAGTCCAGTCCAGTCCAGTCAACGCTTTACAATATGCCATTTGACTCAAACAAAGAAAACGAGAACGAGTAGTATAATTGTTTTAGCATAAACCTACTAGCTAATAATATAGTATCGAAAACAAGGAATGACTATAAAAACTTTACTAAACAAAGCGATGTTCAACCGGCGGCACTGTTTTCATTAATTCATCTTATCTTTGCGCACTCGACTCGATGTCTTGCTATATTTCTATAGCTTTTTGTTTCTATCATTACTCTCAAAACTCTCTTTCCAAGAATTTTCCCCTTTTTATTAGTTCTTGGGATAATTAATGAGTGATAAACTAAACGGATTTATTTTAATACAAATATTTTGTTGTCAGATTATTCAAAGCCGTGCCATGTTTACAATTCGCTTAAGATTCTTGTCAGTTAACTTGGACTTTTTTTATTGTTTCGTCTGTTCTTACCGTTTAAAATTATTCTTGAATACACGTAAATAAGCTGCGGTTTTTCGGATTTTTTCCCCTAATATTCTTTGAGGAATTGTTTTAAATCCATCGTTATGTCAGTATTCAGTTGTTTGTCCGTAGTAGGTTTGCACATGAAAATCTCAATGAAATCTGACGGCCGCTTTAAGTGAAAAGTTCGGCTACAAGCAGTTACTACGTTAGCCAATCAGATTGCAGGATTGTGATAGTATGCTAGTAAGTTTATGCTAAGCCTCAGTAGTGGCTCAATTTCCAGCAGTTGTAACGGTAATTGGTGGCGTAAGGGTGAGAGCCATCTCGGGTTCAAGTCCCGCCGTGACTGGTGTAGTGTTTGTGTAGAGTTGTTTTATCTTTCTCTCCTGTGCTTTGAGAGTTTTTCTCCTGGTTCTCCGGTTTTCCTTCCCCCAAAAGAATCAACTCGTAAATTTCAATTCGATAAAGGTTTGATAGCCAATATCTATTAAGTGTTCACCCTCGTAAAAACAGGGAACCCCCAACCAACCTTCCCCAACCCCTTCACTTTAAGAAAAACATTCACAAAGATAAATATAGCCAAAACATGCCAAATTTTAAAATAGATTTTAAAACATATTGATATATATATTTATTTATTTTCTCACAAAGATTAAAGAAATTTCTACAAAATGTCAAGAAGAATCGAAACTTTTGACTGCGGCAGTCGTGCGCAATATGATAGAAGAGGTCTGGGATGGAACCGGAACTTGGGACACTCTTCTGTGAAGTGCCACGTGATTATGTACTACTGTTTGTATTGCATTGATCTAGATAACTGTCACGACCTGATGGAAATCGGGCAATACACTAACGTCATTCAAATAAATAAATAAATAACTATAAGTAAGCAATATACGAAATGAGAATATACCAACTTGTGTACTTCCTAAGAACACGCGCGCTCATTGGTTAATTGGAGGTGAATATTATACGATATTCACCTCTGCACTGGCGGAATATTGAGTCGGCAACAAAATGGCATCTGCGGCAATCGTTTTGCTACAATTTCGGATGAGGAAATTGAAAAAAATGAAAGTAAATGCCATTCCTATCAATACTAAAAAGGTAACGAAATACGGCCTAAAAGTTTTGCTAAAAGTTTTGCTAAACGTTTTGCGTGAATTTGTCATGCAAACCAAAAGTTTCTGTTTTTTTGTTTTTATTGAATTATATATTGTATATAAAAATAAGTAACTCTGTAAACAAGTTGGTATATGATTTCGCCCCAGGCTTATTCGCTTCAGGCTCAGTGAATATGGAGAATATTTACCTCGCCGCTCGCAGACTCGCGTCTCGGTAAATATCTCCTAATATTCACTTCGCCTACGGCGAATAATTGCTAACCATTAAAATAAGCCTATGAAACAAAAATATCTGCTTTAAATAAGAAAATAATTAATAAAAGTTACTTAATTTTACTTAAAAATGGAACTTTCGGTCGCAGTCTCGTATTTTTCTTAAATTTTGAACTTTTTAAGACGTTGTTCATCACCAATAATAGGACAGTCAAAGGAAAATGTTTGACCAATTTGTTAAATAGCGCACTAGCTAATCAAAATGCGCTTGTAAACTTCTTTGAAGAAGACCCTTGATCAGGGACCAAAGTGTCTACTTTTAAGAATAAAGATGTCGCAGTCAAAACAAGTTTCAGGAGTAAGTTTTGCTTTCCATTTGCTCTTAGTTCTTCTATGTGCTGAAACATTATTTTAATAAACATAATAAAGAAATTACACTGCAATATAGTGAGATTTTTTTAGACCATGAAATAGTTGATTAACTAATGGGTACAATATCAAAATGTATCCTTTGTTGGCTTGCCTTCTGCCGTGGCTTATCTTGGATAACGACCTGATCTTGGACGTAAGACCTGCGTGATCTGACCTGGCGCGCCCTCTACTGTTACTGTGTGCTGTGTTCTTGTTGGTAAAGGGTGAGTACGAAACTACCAAACATTTTTTTTATTAATATAATTTTATTCAGGATATTTCTCGATGGAGAGCAGTCATTATACCAGTGCAGGGAAAAAAAAAAGATTGTCTATACTAATTGTTTTTTTATATCGACAAATAATTAATGTCACTCAACCAGAATATTCTCAATTTTGTTATATGCATGGAGGTATATGTATTATACCATTTGATAGTTTCGTCACTTTATATGGACGCATTGATGAAAGGAAGGAAGGATGAGATTGGATGGATGGATGGATGGATGGATGGATGAAAGGAAGGAAGGAAGGAAGAGATTGGATGGATGGATGGATGGATGGATGAAAGGAAGGAAGGAAGAGATTGGATGGATGGATGGATGGATGGATGGATGGATGGATGG